ACAATCATTGACACCCTTCACAAGGAGGGAAAGCAATAAACATTCATTGCCAAAGAAGCTGGCTGTTCACAGAGCGCTGTACTACAGACAACGTCAGAGGCGTCTTACCTGGGCTAAGGAGAAGAACTGGACTGTTGCCCAGTGGTCCAAAGTCCTCTTTTCAGATGAGAGCAAGTTTTTTATTTCATTTGGAAACCAAGGTCCTAGAGTCTGGAGGAAGGGTGGAGAAGCTCATAGCCCAAGTTGCTTGAAGTCCAGTGTTAAGTTTCCACAGTCTGTGATGACTTGGGGTGCAATGTCATCTGCTGGTGTTGGTCCATTGTGTTTTTTGAAAACCAACGTCACTGCACCCGTTTACCAAGAAATGTTGTAGCACTTCATGCTTCCTTCTGCTGACCAGCTTTTTGAAGATGCAAATTTCATTTTCCAGCAGGATTTGGCACCTGCCCACACTGCCAAAAGCACCAAAAGTTGGTTAAATGACCATGGTGTTGGTGTGCTTGATTGGCCAGCAAACTCACCAGACCTGAACCTCATAGAGAATCTATGGGGTATTGTCAAGAGGAAAATGAGAAACAAGAGACCAAAAAATGCAGATGAGCTGAAGGCCACTGTCAAAGAAACCTGGGCTTCCATACCACCTCAGCAGTGCCATAAAAACTGATCATATTTATTCAGTGAAAATCACAGCCTTTTGGAGTTGAATCGTCACATTAAGCTATAGCGCATGGCTCTCGTGTTGAGAAACAATTTCGTCCGCAACCATTGCAGTATTCGATATCTAGAGTGACGGATTTGTCGCACATCATTCTCTTTCTATAAAACCTATAAACCGCATTTACCGGTTCTTTCTCTATAGCGACACCAACTCTATAGTGGTTTGCCTGAGCATTGCAATTATTTCGCACTTAACTAGACTTCAATCTCATGGCTTTCCCAACATATTTTTGCTTATGTCCTGTGCGTGGCATATTATTTCTTCTGCGCGGTCATGACGAATGAAGTGAACAGCTTAGAGGGAACTTTGGTCACAACGATTATATACTGCAACAAGTGATTTGATTGCTTCTATCGTACTCATTTGTAAGTCGCTTTGGATAAAAGCGTCTGCTAAATGACTAAATCTAAATGTTTTACTGCCTAAATAAAAAAAATAATTTTTATGAACTCAGAGAAAAGAATAACGAGTTAAGTGATTCAACCTTTTATTTTGAGCACACACTATATATTGTTGAATATACATTCATACATTGAAGTAATGAAGAAAATGATCAAACTTCCAAAAAAAACAATAGTAATGACATTACAGGTGGTAATGCAAGCCAGTATGTTTTGGTAAAGTATGAAGTCGTCCAGCATTTCAACAATAATCGCATATCATGGAATCATAATTTTTTGAAGCCAGCAACACACATAGATCTGTTACATACCTACACATTAGTGGTAGACCGATATTGTTTTTTTGACAGCCGAAGGCCGATATAATTTTATTTTAATTAATATTTAAGAAATTTTAAATCATTTGAAAATGGATTTAAAAATAAATGTGTAAAATAAACATACTTATACTTTAGATGACAATGTATTTTTCAACATTGTAACCAACAGGGCACTAAGTAATCTGGGAAGTTTGTGTGCATTGGGAATAGGCATGGGCCGATTACCAGTTTCTGTTAACGACGACAGCGAACAAGAGGGAGAATGTGAACACTGTGTGCTCGACGCTACCG